CCACGTGATATAGTCTGCTCCTTGATGGGACATTTGACATTTTTAAGCAGAATAAGAAGCAACCGAGGCCTCAGAGCAAGCATGCCTCCTGGATGGCGCTGTCGTTAGTGTGAGAGGGGAGGGAGATGCATGCATATTTCTTGCAAATGGACCTGCAGCCATTCACCTTTGGCATGGAAGAGGATAAAACCTTGAATCACCCGCTGCTTCTCCTTACAAGCACAGTAGTGGAGGGGCCAGGGCCTAGCTTTGCTGAGGGGCTACTGAGCATGTGGTTGGGTTTATGGAAGTACATGGGGCCATGGAGAATAACAAAGGAATGAGGAGAAACGCAGGCTGAGGTGGGCCTCACATGGAAGAAATGAGCTGCATGCTCCAGGGGGCATGGCTAGACCAGATCCCAGCGCTGCATGGGGTATGCCTGCATGGGATCAGCATGCTCCACCCATGGCCTGAAACAACACTGCGAACGGTGACGTTAGTTGTGTGCTTCTCATCATGGTATGAGAGGAGATGGAGGTGTCTGGAGGGGACATGTCTGGGTTACCCAGAGCTCTTGGCCAGCAGCACTAAGCAAAATGGACTCCCTGGGGACTTTCTGGAGGACAGAGCAGGAGGCAGAGTGAGACTGCCTTTCCCCTGACAGTTCCTGGATAGTGGCAAAGGCAAGTGACAACAAACCCTCATGCTGGGGAGAAAAAGGGAGACTGGCACGTTTTCGCACATTCAGAAAAGTCCCAGTCTAGTCTGAGTTTGAAATAAAAAAAAAATGAGGAAGCCAGTTATTCCCTGTAGACCATTCGTCTGTCTTTCTAGGAATGATGAGTGATAGGCTTAGATCATCGCCCGGGCCTGAGTCGGATATCTCAAGAGCTGACATTGGATGTCTGCGAGCGCTGGCACGGCGAATCTGGGTCATCCTGGCAGAGTGAGCATGCTGACAGAAACGGTGTTCCTTGAGAGAAGGATCCACCCAGACCTGAGCTAAATCGAAAAAGGCAGCAAAGGGAAATGGGGATGAAAAGAGTTAACGTCCTGTGTACAGCAAAACTATCCTCGAAACCAAATGAGGAGGTGAACACACTCGTGGAGGAGAAGTACTTCTCTACCACCAAGTCAAAAGTCAGGAGGCACCCAGAACTCACGTTCCCTCACATGGCAAGCAAGTCCATGCCTTAGGATTGTCCAAAACAGAGGTCCTTGAAGAGGAGAGCAATTCCCCAGGTGACAGGAGGGCCATGGCACAGAGAAGCAAGCGGTGGAGACCTTCACAAACCTAGGAGAGGTTCTCTCCGCTCTGAGTAGGGCTTTTTGGGAGTAAAGGGACAAAAGATCCAGATGTGATCTGTCCAAGGCAGCCGCCTGGGCTCAGTGATGTGGTGCTGGAGCAGGTCAGCTCTAGCTACTGCTGCTGTTTGAGCCGGGGAGAGACGGAAATCCTGCTGCAAGTGCTTTGCTGCTGTCGCTGCTGCGGAAAAGTTTTTGAAATCGCAGTTCGTATTCATCAGCTTCTCTCCCTAAGCAGGACAGTTGACCCAAGGTGGAGAGGAGGTGCAAAGGGAAGTGTTGTGGTGGAGGCCGGAGGACAGGGGAGCAGCAGGGAGGGAAGGCAGATCTGAACGTGGAAACATGGCATGGAGCATAGAAGGGAGACCAGTGAAGTGGGCTTCTCACTCAAGCTTCATGGGGCAAAGATTGGCCCCCTCTAAAGTGATCATACACATTACCCTATAGGAGCCTATAGGACACCACCCCGCCGTGCTGCCCTATAGGCCTCTCTGACACTGCCACGGATGTATGGACAGAGGAAGGGACTCATGTCTTTAGAAGGTGGCACCCCCCACCTCTCGGGTCTGGTGGAGGCCTGTCCTGCACCCTCTCCTCCCACCCTTGTCCCTTAATCACAAGCAGACTGGCGAGACAATAGTGACAACCGCACCAGAGAGCCAGCCCTCGCTGCCCTTTGTCTCCCGGCCCTCTGGGGCGCTGCGGCGTGGGCCTGGCGTCACGCTCGCGGCCCGGCCGTCACACGTCCAACTCATCGCCTTCCCCGGCAGCCGGGCGGAGGGCACGTCAGCACGAGGTGCCTCTGCCCTGCAGGGGAGGCCAGGCAAGGAGGAGCAAGGCCCAGTGGCAGCGAGGCCGCCTCGGAGCTGCCCGGCGCCCTGGACAAGCAGGAGCTGCCGAGCGCCTTGGCCCTCGCCTCTCTCCCCTTCCACATCCAGACAACGCGACGTCTCAAGCCGTGTTTTCCCCAGAGATGGAGGCAGCCGTCCTCCTCCCCCCATCCCAGCACATGGCACGGAGGCTTTTAGGCTATTTTTCTCCAGAGTTCACACAAATCTCCCCTTCCCCGTGCCCACCCCCCTTCCCCGCGCCACTGAGCTCAGCCATTGAGCCCAGGGAGCGGGTTATTTCCCAGGTTAGCACAAAGCCGGGGTCTCTGCGTGCCCCTGCAGCCAGCAGAACAAAACGCTCAAAGACGTTAGAGGGCCATTTGTAACCAAATCCCAACACACCAGATACTGTTGGGATTATGTCAGAAATATTTTCCCAGAATGCCCTCCCCCCGCCATGCTCCCTCCTACAGATGTTCGGCCCCCACGCCACAGATGTTCCTCTTGCAAAATGAGCTTTCCCCTTCCTCTCCCAAATGCCCCTGATGTCTTGCACATGGCCTTCGCGAGGTTTGGTTTCCACCCTGCCCTCCATGTCCCCCCTTCCCCGCACCCTCGCTGGTGAACGTGTGGAACGGCTGCCCGGCTCCCTCTCGCAGGGCTGAGCTAGTGGCCTCCAAGCTCTTTGGGGGCATCAAGGGCAGGACATGGGGGCTTTTCTTACCTCATCCCCACGATGTTGTATTTCCCTGCCCATTAGGTAAAGCCCTCTGCGTGTTTTGGCCTCTCATTTTGAGCGCATGACCTGTAGTCTCTGCAGGTCTTACTTGCTCCAGGTGGGCTCGCTGGACCTCCGTAACCTTGGAAGGAGCCACTTTCCATCTGTTGTTCCTGGATGGACCCAAGCCAACCACTTCAGAGGCTCCTTGGGCCTTGCCGTGGTCTGCTTTGCCCCGAGTCTGCTCTCCTCTGGTCCCTGGAGGGTACTGGGGCCGGTGGAGCACCGGAGTGCTGCTCCTCGCTGGTGTGGGCCTCCACGGGCGAAGTAGTCTCTTCCTTGGGGATGCTGGGTGCGCTTGAGACGCTGGCAAGAACAGCCAGAGCTGCTACCCCGCACCGCCAGCGGCCCACGTGGAGTGAGGAGGAAGACGTTCTGACAGCTCTTCAGGGCCCTGCTCCAAGATCTCCGCTGGGATCAGCTCTGCACCGATGGGGCCCCAGCTCCCAAGTGCTGAGCTCCTCCCAGGCCTGCTGCTTCCAGACAGCTCCCCGGCCGAGGCGGCGCTGAGCTCCAGCAAAGGGCTCTATGCTCTCCCTTACCTTTTGCCGGAGGAGCTCCAGCCCGAGAGCAGGGGCCCAAGCAGGACTTTGATGGTGGAGGCGCTCGGTGCTTCCTCCTGCCCCCAGGATGCCCTGTGCACCACTCCTCCTTGGCAGCGTTGTGCATGGGACTCTCCTCCATCCTTCCCTTCTGTGCCAGCGACGGGAAGAACATTGCTCTGACACACGGGGCTATGTCAGATGCTGCGATGCCCAGGTGGTAACCACTGAATCCAGGAGCCACAGAGCACATGGGAACACTGGAAGGGCTGCACGAAGCAAGAATCTCTCAAAGGTTTCAGGTGCCACCTTCTGTCCACAACATTTTGGTTCTTTTTCGCCTCAGGAGATGTTTCTCTCCCGTCTTTTTCTCCCCCGCAGAAAGAAAACCCAGAGCAGCATCCCCAAGAGGTGCAACCTAGTGGAGTCTCTACAGGTTTCCAGGGGCTGTGGCTGATGGACACCCGCTTGGTCCAGCCAAAGCCCTCTCCTCATCACCTGCTCTTAGCAAGAACTCGGCTCCACTGGTCTCCCAGGGAGCCGGGGGCAGCACAGTGGTTTTCTTCAAAGATAGAGTTTATTGCTAAAAATGATTTTGATCAGTGATAGCTCATATTTACATTGATTTTTTAAAGTAATATTCAAGTAAACATTTCCAATAGTTTCTGGCATAATCTCTAGCTTTTTTTTTTGGCTTTTTTTTCTTATCCTATACACAAATGTTAAAAATAAATAAACTGTACACAGAAAATTTCCTTTAACATCTCTACATGACTATATGTATTCCCACACCACAAAACGATTCCACTCTTTCATAGAATTGAACTTTTCTTAAAAATTTCCTCCTTAATAAATTGTTATACACGTAAAAAAAAAAAAAAAAAAAAAAAGAATGTGGCGAATTAATTCAAACATCAGTGACAATGTCTGAAGAAAACAAAAAAAAGAAAAAAACAGCATAGAGAAACACTCATCTTCGGGCATGCTGCCATTCTTTCTTTTCTTTTCCTATTTTTTTTTCTCATCTCCTTTTCCTCTTCTTAAAATCATCTTTACAGGAAATTTCTGCCCTTCCCTTCTGTGGGGAAGTGCACAGGTTCTGTGGGGACAGCTTTAAAATGTGGTCCTATGTCTTTAAAATAATAACAATAACAATAATAATTATAATAATAATAAAAAACAGCTGCAATTTCCCCCCTCCCCTCCCTTTCCTTTAAAATCTCTCTATTTACACGACTGGTATTTTTTATTATTTTTTATTTTTATTTTCCTTTTGTTAGAAGGCTATATACGTATAAAAATAGACATCTGATTGTAGTGCTTTACTGTGCCTTTGGCCTGCCCTGCAGTTCCTGGGTTCGCTTTTCCCCTTTCAAATAAAATAACATTAAAGTAAGTCCAAAAAAAAAGAAAAAGAAAAAGAAAAAGAAAAAAAAAAGTTCCCTTGCGCTCCTTCCATCGGCGGAGGCGAAAATTAAAAATAATAAAATAAAATCCAAACGGAAAAAAAAGCGCGGGGCGGGCGCGGAGCCGCCGGGGCCGGGGCCGGGGCCGGGGCCGGGGCCGGGGCTAGCAGGAGCACTTGCACTCGGAGATGAGCGGGTACTGCACGGGAATCCAGGTGCAGTACTTCTGGCTGGACCAGCCCTGGCAGTGCCAGCGCAGGAAGGTCTTGGTGACGGACTTGACGGGCTTGCAGAACATGCCCTCGGGGAAGGAGCAGGACTTCTCGGCGAAGCAGTTGCCCTCCTTGATGTAGCGCGGCCAGAAGCGGACGCCCAGGTCCTTCCAGGTGTAGAGCACGGGGCAGTAGGTGTACGCCCAGAGCCACTGCAGCACCTTGCGCCGCGCCTTCTTGCCCACCTTGAGGCGCGG